TTCAATATTTGGCACCATTATCTTTATGGCGTTAGTTGTACCATCTATACAAACCACATGAGCATAAAGTATCTCATGGATCTGCCCAACCTAAATATGAGATAGAGGAGGTGGTTGGATGTGGTGAAAGATTATAACTGCGAGATCTTGTACCATCCGGGCAAGGCTAACGTGGTAGCCGACGCCTTGAGCCGTAGAGCAGAGAGTGCTCCGATCCAAGATGTGTGTATGAGGATGATAGTGATGACTTCGATACCATTCGAGAGGCGCAGGTGGAGACCATAAGACTGGAGAATCGCAATAGGGAGCGAGTGATTGGGCAAGTGTCTGAGTTTTTGCCTGATAGTCTAGGGCTTATGACTTTCCTGGGGCGGATTTGGGTGCCATATACTGGTGGAGTTCACCGTATTTTGATGGAGGAGGCACATCGATCGAGATTCTCGATCCATCTGGGAGCCACTAAGATGTACTTGGACCTGTAGAGAGATTATTGGTGGCCATGTATGAAGAGGGACGTGGCATGGGTAGTTGAGAGGTGCTTGACCTGTCGTCAGGTTAAGGCCGAGCACCAGCGTCCTCATGGTCCATTGCAGCCTCTGGAGATTCCCTAATGGAAGTGGGAACATATTTCCATGGACTTTATCACCAATTTGTTGAGGATTGCGTGTGGAGTTGATGCAATTTGGGTGATTGTAGACCGGCTGACGAAGAGCGCTCATTTCCTCGCCATTAGCGAGAGCTCTACTATAGAGAGATTAGCCGAGATTTATGTGAGGGAGGTGGTAGCTCGACATGGAGTGCCGACCTTGGTAGTGTCAGATCGAGACATGTGTTTCACTTCCAGATTCTGGAAGAAATTTCATGTGGAGTTGGGTACCCGGTTAAACTTCAGTACTGCATACCATCCGCAGATAGATGGGGAAAGCGAGCAGATGATTTGGACGCTTGAGGACATGATGTATGCATGTGTTATGGATTTCATAGGAAGTTGGGACACTTATTTACCTTTGGATGAGTTTTATTACAACAACTATCATTCGAGTATTGGTATGCCTCCCTTCGAGCTTCTTTATGGGAGAAAGTGTCGGCCTCACATTTGTTGGGGAGAGGTGGGTCAGCGAGTGATGGGTGGCACTGAGATAGTGCAAAAGAGGATTGAGCAGATACAGCAGGTCACACAGAGGTTACTAACCGCCAAGAGTCGCCAGAAGAGTTATGCTGATAGGCGACGATCCGAGCTGGAGTTCCAGGTCGGAGATTTTGTACTCCTAAAGGTATCCCCTTGGAAAGGAGTGATCCGATTCAGGAAACGCGGCAAGCTTGGGCCCCGATACATCGATCCTTTCAGGGTGACCGCTAGGGTGGATAGGGTAGCATACCGTTTGGAGCTACCTGCGGAGTTGAGTCAGATTCATAACACCATCCAGGTGTCTCGACTGAGGAAGTGCATAACCGATGAGATGACAGTGGTACCACTAGAGGATATTCAGGTGGATGTGAGCCTGAATTACATTGAGTGACCGATTACGATCATGGATCGGAAGGTGAAGGTTTTGAGGAACAAAGAGGTACCCCTGCTTTAGGTCCAGTGGCAACATCGAAGAGGGTCCGAGTTGACGTGGGAATCGAAGTCCGAGATGCGAGAGCAGTATCCAGAGTTATTTTCAGATCATAACTTCGGGGGCGAAGTCTAATTCTAGTGGGGGGGGGGATTGTAACATCCGTACCTCCATATATATTATTTGTTATTTATTAATTAATTTATTTCTTAAGCTACTCGACGAGTCGATTCCCCAACTCATCGAGTAGAGTCGCGATGTGTCACATGGGTTTAATAACCTACTCGACGAGTCCGAGGAGCCAACTCGCCGAGTAGGTGTTGGGATAAGAAACCTTAAATCCCCGAGTTTGGGGCGTATTTAAAGGCACTTATAGCCTCATTCACGGCTATCCTTCCTTGAGAGCAAACCCTAAACGACCTGTGCGCTTAGAGAGAGAGAGAGAGAGAGAGAGAGAGAGAGAGAGAGAGAGAGTGCTTTGCTAATTGTGAGTGTTTGGTGCATCTTATGAAGAGAAAAGAAGATTTCCAAGCCAATGGACAAGAGGGTGCTGCTAAATCTGAGGTTGTTTCACTTCAAAGCTTCTGGGAAAGGTATAAAGCTTGCACCTTTCTCATTATTTTGTATAGATCTCATGATTTTGTGAATCTAGAGTTTTTCCACCCAAATATGAGGACCTTGAGTGTTTCATGCTCATTAAGAGGGTTGAACTTCAGATCTGGACCATGTGAGGTCTCTAGAGTCCAAAAGTCCCTGCTTTATCCAACTATAAGAGTGATCTTCAGTGAAAAACCCTTCTTGGATGTGTTTTAGCATTTTAAGCTCAAAATGCCATGCATGAATGTAAAGCCTGTGACTTTACATGATTAATGAGCATTAGGAGTGTAGATATAGAGTTTGGGAAGGTTCTCTGCCCTGAAAACGACTGAATGAGATATCGGTCTGAATGGACTCGCCAAGTCAAAGAGCCGACTCGACGAGTCGGATGGGGTTGTCTAGATGGTTTTGATCGTGCAACAATTAGGCGTGTTGAGCTAGACTTTTGAGTGATTCTGTGGATGGCGAGTAGACTTGTCGAGTATTATAAGTACACTCGACGAGTAGGGTTAACATGGACTGTTGACTCGTGTTTGACTTCTGTTGACCTAGGGTTTGGTCAACCTTGTCTTCGGGAAACCATGGAGGGGTAAATTGGTCTTTTCCCACTCCAAGAGAGAGAGAGAGAGAGAGAGAGGTAACTTAGTAAAATGTGTAATTTAAAGAGTTAATTAGATATAATTATCTTATGTGATTAGGAGGAGGCTAAACTTGGTGATTCGTGTGTGAGAGTATTCATTCACTTAGCTTACTTACGAGGTGAGTCTTCTCACTGTACTTACCAAGAGTGGTATCTTTATGTGATTGAGCCGTTTTATGTTTTTATATGTGTATTGTAATATTCTACATTATGTCTTGTGATTGTTACTGAATATTGTTGCTACGAGTTTACTAAGTTGGGATCGAAGGGTTCCATTGAGACACATTGATCGGGGGGGGGGGGGGGGGTCTTATATGTTATTTTAGGAAACTCACTAAGCTTTGTGTTTACCGTGTTATCTATTATGTGTTTCAGGTATTTCTCAGGATTACGGGAAGGCGTCGGCTTGATTGTATACACACCAGAGATTGTTTTATGATTTAGAGGATCCTGAAGTTTATACACAGTCTTTTGAACATGAGTTTTGATGGATTGACATTTTGGCATTTTATGGTTATTTATTAAAATTAATGTGTTTTTGAAATTTAAAATTTTGGTTGGAAATTTACGTCGTTACACCATTTGAAATATAACAATTTTTATCTCTTTTTTTTTCTTTTTACATTTTCGGTCCCCTTTTTTTACAACTTTGTTATTATATATTTTTTTAAATATAAAAATAATTTTTATTGTGTAGACTTTATCTACAATATTTAAATTACAATACATAACTAAATATTTCTGTTTACTATTTTTTTTTATCTAGAACCATTTGAAGCATAAAAACATCATTGTATTGTTTTTTTAATTTTTATTTGATGTAATTATTAAGATTTATCTTCATTTATCTTATATAAATATATTTGTTTTTATAAAAAAAAAACATGATTTGTGATTATAAAAATTACATTACTATAGACATAATTGTATGCTACTATTTTAGCTAATACTTAGCTATGTTGTTACAAATGTTAAGAAAATTAATCATATTAATAATATGATATTAATTATGTTTAATTCATTTTATTTAATAGAAAATAAAAACATTTTATATATTTATATAAAATAAATCAAACAGAATTAATATCATATTAAATGGAATTAAACGAAAATAATATAACATTAATTTCGTAAAAAACTATTTTCCATTAAATGAAATGAATTAAACGGAATTTAATGTCATATTATTCATATGGTTAATTATTTTAGCATGTGTAGTAACGAAATTAACTATTAACTAATATATGTTTTTTAATTTTGCTTTGAAAAGTTTACGTCTTATTAAAAAATATTCAAAATTTGATTAAACTAAATAGTTTTATAAAATTAAATATCAAAATGTTATATCGAAACAATATAAAACTTACTATAATTATATTATTAAATCAAAACCGAAACATATTTTTATCTTTAACTCAAAAACATATACTTATATTTTTAAACTAATAACAACATACTATTATTTCTATGATAACATATTTTTTTATGATAACACATCATATATTTTTTTTCATAAAAAACATATTTGGATAAGATAAATGTAGATAAATGTTAAAAAATACATTATGTAAAAATTAAAAAGTAATAAAATAATGTTGTTATGCTTTAAATGTTTTTAGATAAAAAATAGGAAAAAAAAATGTTTAATTATGTATTATAGTTTAAATATTTTAAATAAAGTCTAGATAATAGGAATTATTTATAAATTTAAAATATATATAATATCAAAGTTATGAAAAAAAAGCTGAAAATATAAAAAATGGTAAATTACACCGTTGGTCCCTCGTGCACATGCCAGAAAGCATGTTTAGTCCCTATTTTCAAAATTTAACTCGTGCAGTCCCTCGTTGTTATTTATCTTGCACGATTAGTCCCTATGCACGTTAACTGTTAAATTCTTCCGTTTAAGCTACCCACGTGCCTTGCACGCAGGGGCATTTTCGTCTTTTTAGGGTTTGTATACATGAACCAGTATGGCGCGACTTCGATAACCGATCATTTCTCATTTCATCCTCCGTCGACCCTTAGCATTGCACGAGAAAACCCTAGTTTTCTACGATGGTAAACTGGAGGATTAGGCAAGAATGGGAGGAATACGATCTCCAAAGCTCATACGGTAAAATTTTCTACATTTTCAGTTGATCATCCACTATACGTTCCTAAAACGTAATTTTTTTTTTGGGTTCGTAGCTGACAATCCATGTATGTTCTCGATACGATTGAACTATGGTGGAGTTTTTACGAAGTTTCCAGACCGCAAATACATAAAGGGGAAGATGAAATATATTGATGGCATTGATAGTGACTGGTTCTCGATGCATGATATGGACGAGATAATGGAATTGCTTGATTGTGTGGAACCAGGTAAAAGTATTTATTATCATTTCAAACGACCAACCTGGGATTTAGATTTTGGGTTGTATGCTTTGGGTTGTGACGAAGATATAAACCACTTTAGGTCATACGTGTATGAACACAAGGTGATAGAAGTGTATACAGAGTTTTGGGAAACCAAGCTGCATACGTATCAAATGTCCCCAAACCCTGCAAAGATAAAGATACACGAAATTCCTGAGTCCCTTTGTCGTAAAAGCTTGTTATTGACATGGTCAAATTCAGGGGATTGTCCTAGTGAAGAAGCCCCTGTTTTTGAGAATGTAGAAACTATGGACGAACCCCCTAGTACATTACTTGAAACAACCTTGGAACAACCCCTTGTTACATTGAGTGAAACAGTTGAGTCAACCCCTGCCTATATACCAAGAATTGAAAGCCCTTTGACTGAACCAATGATAGGAAGCACATGTCCTAATGTTGATGGTTGGGATGATACATTTGAATGGTGTGAACCTTTTGGTGGGACTCCTATGGAACAAGATGAACCAAATAGTGAAAAAGCAGGTGAAGACAGTCAAGCTAGTAAAGACAGTCATGATAGTGATGACACTGAAGATAGTGAATACAGTCAAGATAGTGATTACATAGTTGATGAAGATAATTTGTTAGATGATCCAGAGGTTGATATGAAGAACTTTCACCTCAACATTGACAAAGAGGTGGAGTGGGTTGGAAGTTTTCCTGATGATCGAGATGAAGCAGTAGAAGGTGATGAAGAATTAGAGGTTATAAACACTGAAGAATTTGTATCTGCATCTTCATCAGATGAGGGTGAAGCTAGTAAAAAAAGGAAGAAGATAAGAGATTTACGAAGAGCACATAAGAATGAAGCAGCTGCTGTCAAAGATCCATTTTACATCCACCAGACTTTTAGCACAGCCAAGGAAGTTAAACAACAAATTTATCTTCATTCCATACAGAGTAGAAGGGAGTTAGACTTCGTCAAGAATGACAAAAATAATTAGAGTGGTTTGCAAAGGGACAATACCAAACCTTGGGATATTAGAAACAGGTGGGACCAGCAAAAGTAATGACAAAGTGGGACCAAGTCAAAAGAAAAAGAAAGTGAAAGATGGTTCTATTCATAAATGCCCATGGGTCCTACTAGTGAGTAAGTGGAAAAAAGACATTAACTGGACTGTTAAGACCTATGAAAAGCAACATACGTGCCTTCAAACAAGGAAAATTAGGGCATGTAACTACAAGTTTCTCTCTGAACAGATTGTTGACACAGTGGAGGCAAACCCAGAAATACCACTTAGAGCATTACGTGAGATGCTTGAGAAGAAATACCAACTTGGATTGTCAGACATGAAAGTTCATAGGGCGAAAACGAAAGCCCTGGAATCAATTAGGGGAGATTTTGCTGCTCAGTACTCATGTCTAAGAGACTACTTACAGGAGGTGCAGAGTAGAAATCCAAACACCACAGTCAAACTTCAAGTGCAAAGTGAACCATGTTATGCATCTGAGACCAGGGTATTTGAACGAGTATACATTTGTCTTGGTCCACTGAAAAGTGGATTTGCAGCAGGGAAAAGAGATTTACTAGGGCTTGATGGTGCATTCATGAAGGGTCCATACCATGGTATGATCCTGACAGCAGTGGTATGTGCATAATCATATTTTAGTATTTGATTAATGTTTGACCATAGTTAATTGTTTGCTTATTACTGTGTTTGACATGATAATTCAGGGTTTAGATGGGAACAATTGCACATACCCTTTGGCATATGCAGTTGTTGAAGCAGAGAACTTTAATTCATGGACCTGGTTTTTAACTAACTTAGGAGATGATCTTGGTTTGTATGCAAACTCCAACTTCACTTTCATATCAGATAGACAGAAGGTAAATAAAGTTCTCCATTCATTTTCACATGCATGTTTTACAATTCAATAAGCAACTTCACTCTTTTGATGATTTAGGGGTTATTGCTGCACTTGAGAAACTTTTCCCAACAGCAGAGCATAGATATTGCCTAAGGCATCTTCATGAGAACATGAAACGTAAATGGAGGGGCAAGGAATTCAAGGATTGTCTTTGGAAATGTGCAACATGTACCACCATACCACAATTCAACAGTGCCATGGAAGAACTAAAGAAACTTAACAGTGAAGCATATGACTGGCTTAATTCTATTCCACCTAAGCACTGGTCCAGATCCCACTTCTCAGGTATATAATATTATGTTTATAAGTGTATAATTTTTAAATATAATCTAATACAGTTGTGTTTTATTAGGGAGGGCACATTGTGATGCTTTGTTGAATAATATGTGTGAGAGTTTGAATAGCAAGATAGTGAAGGGTCGTGATAAGCCAATTATCAGTTGCTTGGAGTTTATTAGGGAGTATATCATGAGGAAAATTGTCATGGTTCAAAAAGAAATTGATAAAGCTAATGGCCCATTAACTCCTACAGCCACTAAGACCCTTGAAAAAATTAAAGAAAGGGCAGTACAGTGTAGGGCAGTGTTCTGTGGCAATGGGAAGTACCAGGTTACAAGTGAAGGTACTAATCAGTATGTGGTTAATATGGACCAACAAACTTGTTCATGTAATAGGTGGGAACTGACAGGCATACCCTGCAAACATAGTATAGCAGCTATATGGGATATGAGGCTCAACAATGAAAATGTTGGAATACCTGAGACATGGGTACACCCAACTTATTGGCTCAAGACTTGGAAAGAAATGTATGTCTTCAAAGTTGAACCTATTAATGGGAGGTTATTGTGGGAAAAAAGCACATGTCCTACCAAGTTGATACCACCAAAGTATCGTGTCCCTATTGGCAGACCAAAAAAAAAGAGAAGAAGATCTGCAACAGAAGATGATGGAGTGTCCACAAAATGGAAATCTGTAACATGCACAAAATGTGGAAATGTGGGCCATAATGGAAGGACCTGCAAGGGACAATCACAGACTGGGAATGGAACAGGAGAAGGTGCAGCAGGAATACAACAGGAGAAGGTGCAGCAGGTAGCAGTGGTGGTGTACAAAATGGAGTTGGGAACAAAGGAAAAAGCCCCATGCTTTGAGAATTTGTAGTTTGGTATCATGATCATGAAGGATAACTATGTTTTTGTTAGGCATTTATTGCCATATTACTTTGTTGTTATGTTTTGTATTTTGATACTTTGTTGCTGTCTAGGATAACTATTTGTATGCCATAACACTATGTTGTTATTTTGGATGTCCCTTTATGTTAATGGTCAATGGTTATCTTGGATATTTTAGTTTTTGTCCTTTTTAATTGTTATATTGGATGCTACATGTATTGAATGGTATATTGCATATGTTGCAAATACCACATTTTCATTAAATTTGAACACCAACTGATAACACCACATTATGATTACACAATATATTGTAACTAAAATTGAAAATTTTTTTGTTAATACAAATAACATTACAAAATACACATACCAAAATACTAACAACTTCATTACTAAACCTACACTTTATATATAAGGACTGAAACAAAAAAAAAAACCCAGCTAATAACTAGGTAAAGCTTCAATTTGCGATTTTGTTCTTCAAGTTTCATCCTAAACGCCATACAATCACAGTCCTGATCATAATCATTCACCCATCCTATGAACTTGCATAATGGTCCCTGAACCAATTAAAGTAGATGAAGAATTAGGGCAAAATTAGAGAAGACGAAGAACGAAATTGAAATCATTAACCTTACCTTTACTGTACAAGCATAATAGAGTTTCCCAAGGTTTCTTTTGCTATAAGATGTGCGAATCACTGTAGTGGCTCCACAATTGCATTTAATATCGATCATTGTTATGTATTTGGAAGAAATCGATCGAACGAGGGGAAGAGACGAACGAGAGGATAGCAGAGGAAAAGAGGGTTGCAGTGTTCTTTATAAGATTTAAGGTGTAACGGCATTAAATATGGACACAAACCCTAAAAAGACGAAAATGCCCCTGCGTGCAAGGCACGTGGGTAGCTTAAACGGAAGGATTTAACAGTTAACGTGCATAGGGACTAACCATGCAAAATAAATAACAACGAGGGACTGCACGAGTTAAATTTTGGAAATAGGGACTACACATGCTTTCTGGCATGTGCACGAGGGACCAACGGTGTAATTTACCCTATAAAAAAAAAAAGAAAAAAAAAATGAGAAACTAAAATCATAACATTTCAAATAGTTTTTATGTAAAGTTTCACAAACCATCCTTAAACAAGGTTTACAAAATAAAAAAAAATTAATTTAATAGGTATATCTAACGGACTCAAGAAAATAATAGTAAAAACCATTTAAAAGAAAAACTAAAGAATATCGTGTAATTTACCCTTAATTATATTTTAAAGGGTGTTCCAAACTTCCAATCACATGCTATGATTCCCATATGCAATAAAATGACAAGAAACTAAGAAAGGCGTCAGTAGTGAACGACCATTCCAAATTAACGTGCGTTTAGTTGATTTGAAAAATGCTATAATTATAATATTGAATATCTAAAAAAGAACTGCTTCTAAAACTCAAGAAAGGCCTCAGCAGATCTAGGACCTCCCCGCAGCGATCAAAACCCAAAAATGGACGGCGACGAGAAAAATGCTACAATAAACTCGCCAGCAGCCGACATGGTGGTGGTGATGGTGCCCTTCGTAGCTCATGGTCATCTCAACCAGCTCCTACACCTTTCCCGCCTTATATCCACCTACAAAATCCCCATCCACTTCGTAACCACCACCACCCACATCCGCCAAGTGCGCTCCCGCTTCCACGATTTGACTCATTTCAGTACACACGCCGCCGCCTCCTACCTCATCCACTTCCATGAATTGCCAACCCCTCCCTTCACTTCTCCTCACCCCAACCCTTCCAGCCGTTTTCCTTCTCACCTACAACCTGCCTTCGAATCAACCCTCCATCTCCGCCGCCCAGTCGCCGACCTCATATTATCTCTCTCTAGCTCCACCCCTAGAGTCACCGTTATCCATGACTTCTTGATGTCCTACGTGGTTCAAGACGTGAAAGCGATACCAAATGCCGAGACTTACATCTTCAGACCCCTCTCCGCTTTCCACACCTTCTGCTGGCAAACCGGCGAGAGACTTAAAAGACCGTTCCCCATAGACCCGGTAACGCTAAAACGGCTCCCGTCTAATGATGGATCTTTCGCGCCGGAGTTTATTGAATTCATTAAACAACAGTTACCCCATGTCGGTTTTCATGTCGGAGAGTTATACGATTCATCAAGAAGCATTGAAGGTGAATATCTTGAATATTTAGAGAGAGAAGGTCTGAAAGTCAATAAGAAGCTTTGGGCAATAGGGCCGTTTAATCATGTTGACAAAACTTCTTTTACCGTTTCAAAAAACCATCACAAATGCTTGCAATGGCTTGACCTGCAGCCTCCTACCTCCGTCGTTTATGTGTCTTTTGGGACAACAACCTCCTTCACCGACGAACAAATTACAGAGCTGGCTATTGGGTTAGAGAGAAGCCAGCAGAGGTTTATCTGGGTGGCACGAGCGTCTGACAAAGGGGATGTGTTTGGCGATGAGGCTAAAGTGGTGGATTTGCCGGAAGGATTTGAAGAGAGGGTGGAAGGGCGGGGAATGGTGCTGCGGGGGTGGGCTCCACAGACGGAGATTTTGGGTCATGTTGCAACCGGTGGGTTCATGACTCATTGTGGATGGAACTCATGTACAGAGAGTATATCAAGGGGGATACCAATGGCTACTTGGCCAATGCATTCTGATCAACCACGAAACGCGCTTTTGATAACTGATGTTCTTAGAATTGGGTTGGTGGTGAACGATTGGGAACATAGAGATGAGTTGGTGAAGTCGGTGGTGGTGGAGGATGTTGTTAGGAGATTAATGGATTCCAAGGAAGGGGAGGAGGTGAGGAAGAGAGCGGTGGAATTGGCGGATACAGTGAAGAAGTCGGTGGCGGAGGGTGGTGAAACTAGTAAGGAGACTGATTCATTCATTTCCTATATAAGCAGGCATGCATATGGATAGCAATAGGTCCAAATGATTTCTTCCATGTTTCATCTAATCCTTTTATGCATCGAGGTAACTCATTTCATATATATGCTTAATTCTCATCATGTGTTGTTTCAAAATTTGCTTGTTTTAAGAACATTGTTTTGGTCACACTCCCACGGCAATCTTGATACTTTTGTCACATATAGTATTGAACATAAATGACTAAAGGATACTTTGAGTGAGTTGGAAAAGAATGTTTTCTAGCAAATAATTAATTTTCGTTCAATCGGGTGTTTTTTTTATAAATGGAGATAGAGGTTTCTTCAAGATAATCAAGTTTTATGAGTTCGGGTTATAAGATAAACTCATGGAGCATATTGGTGTTTTGGGCAACCGATGATTGATGGTTCCTCATGTAGTACGACTTGGGTGAACAATGAACATAGTGCTAGCTCTTGTGCAATTAGAAGAAAATTTTGGATCTTAATTATTTCTGCTCTTTAAAGGTGAGAAATGAAAGAAAAAAAAAAATCTAAGTTTTGTGAAGATGTTTGGATTATCTTTCGTTTAAACAAATCTTGAATTTTTGATCTTGAGATATGGAGTTTCGACTCCTTGTTAGCATTCTTTCTTGTGTAAATGAGTAATTTATTTCATTTTTTTTATCGTCTCTAATAAGCATATCTATGATCAACATGTTAAATCAAATAATTTAGACTTAATGGGTATTTTTTCGATCTCTACGACGACGTCCTAGGTAGGTTCAATTCTCGTCCTTCAGATCTCGCCGACGACAAGTACATTCGTGATACCATTTTTTTTATTTTCAACGTTGTTGTTATGCTAATTTTTCTTATTTTTATTTTCAATCTTTGCTGATCATTGTTGAAATCGATAGTTGTTATGAAATTGATTGTTCCTTGAAATCGATTTTGTCCTCCTGAAATGTAACGTTCCATTTTCACGACCAAAAAATTTCAACTTATTGAAAGTAAAAATTCCCAATTCTAAAATCGTTTTAAGAAAACCATTTATTCCCAATTACAATTTATTAAAAATCAGAGTATTATAATGAATGTGAAATCTTCAATGCTGTTGATGAGTGTGTACAGTCTCGTCTTCACCTTCCCAAAGTCACCAATGATACCTGAAACAATAAGCATAAAGTTTAGCGAGTTTCTCGCAAAATACCACATATGATAAGCATACAAGCATGCATAATGGCCCACAATCTCCCGGTTGGAATGTGTATGTAACACTCGGAATCTAGAAGATTAATTGTGGAAATAAATCCCCTTTCCTAGGGACTAACTCGACGAGTTGATGGTGGAAAACTCGACGAGTTGGAGGCTTTTAGGATGCACGTTTTTATGGACCAACTTGACGAGTTGGTGAAGGAACTCGACGAGTTGGTGAATCAACTCGACGAGTTGGACGCTGATTGAGAAACCCTAATTTTTAGGGTGATGCACCCTATTTAAAGGCCTTAAGTCCTATGGTTGGCCTCCTAAGCAGCCTCCATTGTTGTCAAAACCCTAAATCAAGTTGTAGCCTCCATTGTCAAACATTTGAGCCTTGGATAGAGTTTGGTGGTCATTTTGTGCATTATGAAGGATTTAGAAGATCTTGGAGTTCTAAGGTTGGAGAAGGAAGTATTGAATCCGGAATATCTACCCATTTTACAAGGAGTTTGAGGTATCAAGTTCTTATCTTGATGACAAAATGCTTAGATCTCTCTTTTGGGTTAATTTGTTATGCTTTAGCCATGGGTTGGATGAATGCTTGGATTAGGACGTCCCAAAGCATTATTCTTTCAGATCCGGGGTTGTCATGGACTATTTTGACATAAAGGTGCCAACTTTATGGATGTAAGGACTTCTTGTGTGCATTAAGTCCCTTATTAAGCCCTTCTTAAGCTTTTGAGCTTCTCTTAGGCATACATGAAGGTAAAGTTGGCAACTTTACATGGTTTTCCAGCTCTAGGGTGTCAGATTTGCAATTTTGGGCTTTGTCTTGGAGATTAAGTGCTTAACGGTTAAGCTGTTGGGTCTCAGATGAACTCGACGAGTTGGCTGGTAAACTCGTCGAGTTATTTTTGTTTTCCCCGTCTCTGAGTTGATGTAGAACTCGGCGAGTTGATTAGACAACCCGACAAGTTGGGTCAATATGGATCATGGATCTTGTCCTTTTGGCTAATGTCTTTGACCAAGTTTGTCCCAAGGGGTGCCCGAGGTAATCTAAATTGTATCTAAGGAAAATATGGGCTTACGATAAGGTCCGTATGGGATTGGGCCAAATTTAGAAAATTGGGCCATTAATGGGCTTTCATGGATCTAGTAGTTTCTTGTATGTTGGGCGTGAGTTATTAATGGGCCATTGGGATACAAAGTGTTTGGACTAGAAAGAATGGTTAGACCTTAAAGCAAGGCCATGTATAGGGTTTGGGCCTAATTTGGAAAATTGGGCCATTGGTTGATTAGTGGGTCTTTGGGCCTTTTAGATCATAGTTTGGTTCATGGATGTGGACAAGGTTAGGTTAGGGGTAAAATGGTCTTTTTACCCCATGTATGAGTGGTGGGCTATAAAGTGTTGTGTCAATTTTGTTTTATATTAATATAGTCCATTTGTAGCGGGGTGGGCCTGTCCACCCGATTTATTTATTATGCTAGGGTTAGGGTATTTATAGTGCATGCATGCACCATAATTAGTATCGATTTTCTTGTAACCATAAGCGTTCATTTACAGTAACAGTTCTTAATCGAGCTCTTCTAAGGCCCATGTTACAATCATTCAACACTACTTTGTTCATTATTTTACATGGTTCGACATATGGTTGGTTTGACATACACATGGTCCAACATATGGTTGGTTCAGCATATGCATGGTCCGATGTATACCTGGTTCGGTATATACCTGGTCCAATATGCAAATGGTACGATGAGTAAGGGGATATACGTATGCCGAGCACTATATCATATTACTCTGTGTACCTCTCACATACGCCTTGCGTAGGGACCAAGTTTGCAAACAAATTTTATAATATGAACCTTTATGAAAATTACTTGGAACTTGAGTATTATATATTTGGTCCTAATAAATGTCTAGAGTGATAAAGCTCTTAACTTTATGCCTTTGTATGGCTAAATAAAGCTCAAATCCAAACTCTAGCTTCCTAACACCTTCTAATGTCTAAAAACTCTTACTAGGATGAAAGGTAGCAAGCAAGATCCCATTTTTATGACATAACAACCTTAGAAACATAAGAAACAACAACCCTAAGCTCTGGAGTAACTCATACTCACAAGAACTAAACTCATGGGACAATAAGCATGAAAACCAATAAGCTAAGGATATCTAACACATGGACCAACAAGATTCAAGCTTTATACCTTCTGGAGTTGTGAAAAAACAATGTAGGTTCTGGATCCACAAGCTTGGGCTTCAACAATCTACAAGCTTGGACTTCTCCTTCTTCCAAAACGTACCAAAACACACAAAAAGGCTCAAGATTTGCTCTAAGGGGGTTAAGGTTTCGATTTAGATGCTCAAGAGTGTGATGATGATAAGAAGAGCCTCAAGGGGGTTAATGTCCTTAAATAGGGTTCAAGACCCCGAAATTAGTGTTTGCACCCTACGTGATTACGCCTTGCGTAACTTGGGTTATGCTCCGCGTAGGGCATTAAAAATGTGTCCCTCCATCAGCCACTATGCCATGCGTAGTTGACTTACGCCCTACGTAGGGCAAAACTCTCATCTTCCAACTCAACTTCAAACAACCATAACTTCTTTGTTTCAATTTTGTTTTCAGCATTCTTTATATGCATAGAAAGGTATTGAAGAGCCCCACAATCCTATCTAGTTACTTTTGTCTTAACACATGTCGAGCTGAAACCATAATCCATGCAAAACCCAACATATAACTTTTCCTTTTCTACCCTTCGGTTCCAACATAAAATTCAAGGGCTAAGACCTCACTACCAACATTATCAACCTTCAATAAGGTCTAAACTTTACTTCCTCAAAGCCCAAAACATTTACATGATCAAATTCCGATCCACAACCTTGAATTAAGAAATGACCCGAAAAAGGGTGTTACATATATTTAGAAGCCACGCCATTTCCATATGGAGTTGCACTATGTAGATACATGTCATCTATGTCATTTAATCTAAGAAACCTGGTTTCAGATTCAATTTCAATGGTTTCCCTATTTAAAGTGTAAATGTTACTTTAATGACATATTGCCTAAAAAATTGATGACCAATTCGATATAAATACCAAATTTGGTTGTGTTACAATATCAATTTTCATTTCTAACAATACTAAAAACAATTTTCATAATTTATTTTAAAATCATCTTTAAATTCGCAAACTATTAAAATTTTCACTCTCAATTGTATTTATTTAGCTATATGAGGATGTTATGAGAAAAGTCAAAATTGGTGTTGTCCTAAATGATTGAGATCGTTTGAAATTATTAATATCAAATAATGTATCTATTGAATGTTTTGTTTGTAATTTGTTGATAAAGTCAAAATGTTGATTGATAAAATAAAGTCATAAAAATTGATGAATATCAAATACTTTAAACTATAATACCTGATAAATTTGACTCAATTATTCTTTATTTTTCCTATAAAACATTTATTGGTGACCCGTAAATGTGGTTGACTAGTAAAACATTATGAAATGAATACAAAGCGAACCAAAGAGTTGTTCCTGATTTTATTATCACATACCTCAACTATATTATATAGTTACGTTTTTTTTGTTCAAATAAAGATGGTGAAAATGATTTATATGGCTTCACATAAAAATTTATAATCTACAAAATCGTATATAAAACGTTCTTTTAGTACAAACCAAAATAAAATTCTCTCGCTTTTACATAAAATGTCCCAATCTAAAGATCAAATTCAGAGCGTGTTCGATTGACCACGAGTGAGACACCGAGGCGCGTTTGGATATGTGATCAGTCATTATTGCTCATCTGGTCTTCAATTGGTCTATTCGACCTTAACAACCACTTGCTTTTGGCTCACCGAAGCTTCAAAATACACACTGTTTTTTCTGTTTCGATTAAGTTCCCTGATCTTCCTCACTCTCTCGCTAAACTGATCAACTATCTGCAATGGTGGAAAGCTACCTAGGCGACGAGTTTCATCTTCCGCCTAAGCATCCGTCGGATGAAGCACTGAAGAACTGGCGCAAAGCCTGCTACCTCGTCAAGAACCGTAGCCGAAGATTCCGGCATGTCGCCGACCTCCCTAAGCGGTCTATTCATCGGGATAGGATTTCCGAAATCAAGGTTCCATTCCTCTCCTTTAACCTTCCAACCTAATTACATATTTTGTTGATTGAATGATTTCAGATCTGTGTGTTTGAATGTATATATGATGCGTGTGTGAAAAAAGTAAATCACTGAATTCAACAGTCGAAACGATTACACGATTATAAGTTATAACCATCGACACTAAAAAGTACTGATTCCTGATTGGAGAGTTATGAAAATGCTGGATTCTTTTTCCTTTATCAACCGTTCTTAGTTTTTCGAGCATACATTTCACCACCGTTACTTTCGAATAATTAGTTTACAGATAATTGAACGCTATAATTTAGGCAAACACTACTATTTCCAGCGCCAATAACTAACCATATTTGAATGAAACTGAAACTGAGGCTATTACTGTTCTTCATTATACCCAAAATCTAGTGAAATGAACAAATTTAGTTGTTAGTTTATTATATGTCTATGGTAATACAAAAGTTTGTATTAGATCCTGTAGATTATCAAAAGAAAATGCTTTCACATTTAGACAACTTTTAGTTTGAAACATCATACTTGTTTTTATTGACTTTTGATATTGTTTTTGATGACGATTGGGACATCCATGATAATTATCTTTATCTTTGCGTTATAATATTATTTATGTGGTATAGACTATTGAGGAAGGGCGATCATACAACATTATGATAAATAAATACTATATGGAATATAATAAAATGATAATAGTAAAGATGCTTTGTTTGCGGGGTCCGAGAAATAACAAAATTGGCAAATATCTGTATATAGTATATTATATTAGGGTTTTCCTTATCGTGAGCACTCTGCTCATGTTAGCAAGCCTGGACTCCCCACTCGTTAACTCACAAAACCATGGGTGGGATTCAGGGGATTGTAACTTTTTAGCAAAGAATCTTATGTCTTCAGCATTTTAGGGAAAAAAAAAATAGAAGAGTGGAAACATGACTTTTTGTTTGGAAAGTAACCTTTCTAATTTCTATTATTATTTTTAATTAGTTAAGGAATCATATTGGTGGAGTATATCAGATGTGTTTTTTATAATTCCGTTAGTTGGAATTTATAGAATTGATTATCGTTATCTTTTTTCTTTAAAATATTAAGCCTTGATTTAGATTTTAGATGTTGCTATAACTACCTTGGTTGTTTGGTGGAGACAACTTGTTGAGCCTAACCAACATCAACATATAAATTCTTTTAAAATTTTTGGTCAAGCACTTAAAGTCCATGTTAAAATATATTTAAATTCTTCGAAAGAGAAAATGTTTTTATTAAACTTAAGATAAACTTTCAAATAATATTTTCTTAACACAAATTTTCTATCAGGTGACAAATTTTTCAAGATCCCTTTATCCAGAATAGAAGTTACTTAGGAAATTTAACCAATATTTCAGAAAAGAACCTTCAGACTTGTGACAGCTTCCTCGAAATTTCTCTCCATTTTCCATAGATTTTTGAGCTCCACTAATTAAATTCTCCAATAATCGATTGCTTTGCCACATTATATCTCCACTATAACTTTATCATACCAAACATTATTAACTTACATCATCTCAATCATTGTCATTTTTAAAAGCTTTTTACAAAATGAACTAAAAATATTTTATAAATCCTCTTATCTAACTTTTAACGGCATCCAACCTATGGACAAAAGACAAGAAAATTGTTTAAAAGGTTGTAAGTTACTCGATACATAGTTTTGAGCATACGATGATTTACGTAATTTAGTCTATACAAAATTAAGAAACAAAGACACATAAATAGTAAACACTGAGTACAAACTTATCTTTCGTTTTTTTTTTTTTTTTTTGCACACATGTTCAGTTCATCTTCTTCCTAACTCTCACGTTAGTTTCACCAAGTTCTCCCTTTGTATGCAATGTTCATACTTGCAAAGATTAATTGGAACTTTATTTATTTATTAATCTTAACTACTCATATGACCATAGTTACATTCATAAGATAAAAAGCTAATAATGTTCTCTCTTTTTTCTTCAACGTTCCCAGGAAAACCTGCGGGTTAGCTTTTACACTGTGAGAGCAGCATTGCGATTTATGGATGGTACGCTACTGCTACTTGCGATAATTGAAATGCTGCATGAAATCAATCAACCGTTTCTTTCTAATTAAGCTTCTAGTTAACGATCCGAGTTCTGTTATGTCTTTATCCATTATACATTCATTAACAACAAATTAATACCACTTTATCACAAATTTACAATCCTGTCTCAACAGGCGCTGCTCATTCAGAAAATCATCAAACACCAGATGCAAAAGCTTCCGACATCCGTAATAATCCAGATAACCTCGCATCCATGGTTCAAAATTATAGCATCAAAACCTTACGATCACTGGGTGGAGTTGACGGAGTCGCTAAAGCCATAGACGTATCTATAGATGAAGGCGTCAAATCCACGGATTTATCCATTAGACAAGGCACTTACGGCGTCAACAAATACACAGAAAAGCCTTCGAAAAGCTTTTTTATGTTTGTCTGGGAGGCTCTTCATGATCTAACTCTCATCATCCTTATAGTTTGTGCAGTTGTTTCCATAGGTGTAGGCCTCGCCACTGAAGGCTTTCCAGATGGGATATATGATGGATTGGGAATCCTTCTTAGTATTTTACTAGTAGTTACCGTTACTGCCGTTAGCGACTACAGACAATCCTTACAATTCAAGGATTTAGACAAGGAAAAGAAGAAGATTTCATGTCACGTAACCAGAGATGGATACCGGAAAAAGGTGTCAATTTACGATTTGGTTGTCGGAGACGTCGTCCATTTATCAATCGGCGATCAAGTTCCGGCCGACGGGATATTCATATCTGGATACAGTTTGTTAATCGACGAATCCAGTTTGACCGGAGAGAGCCGTGCAGTCAACGTGGACGAGACTAAACCGTTTCTTCTCGGTGGGACTAAAGTCCAAGACGGCTCAGCCAAGATGCTTATAGCCGCCGTCGGGATGAGCACCGAATGGGGAAAACTAATGGAAACTTTAAGCGAAGAGGGAGAAACCGAAACCCCACTTCAAGTCAAATTAAACGGCGTCGCTACAATCATCGGTAAAATCGGTTTGATCTTCGCGGTGTTGACTTTTCTTGTGTTGACTATCCGGTTCTTAATAGAAAAAGCATTGCGACAAGAGTTTTCAAGCTGGAATTCGAGTGACGCATTAACTATGTTAGACTATTTTGCCACTGCAGTAACCATTATCGTTGTTGCTGTCCCGGAAGGACTACCATTAGCCGTGACTTTAAGTCTCGCGTTTGCTATGAAAAAACTGATGAACGACAAGGCACTCGTGAGACATCTATCTGCATGTGAAACAATGGGTTCTTCCACTAACATATGCACCGATAAAACCGGGACTTTAACCACAAATCATATGGTCGTCCACAAAATATACGTATCCGGTAAGTCAAAAGACGCAAACGCCCCTCTGGAACTCCCTGAAAACGTATTGACCATTCTGTTACAGTGTATATTCGAATGTACATGTTCTGAAGTGGTCAAGGATACCAATGGAAAAACTTCAATTCTAGGCACTCCAACCGAATCCGCGATATTGGAATACGGTTTACATTTAGGTGGTGATTTTGGGACAGTTCGTAGCGAGATTAAGCTACTAAAAATGGAGCCGTTTAATTCTTCCAAAAAGAGAATGTCGGTCATTACAAAACTGCCCGGCGGGCAGATACGCGCGTTTATCAAAGGCGCGTCTGAAATAGTATTAGGAATGTGTGACAAGTTATTGGATGGAAGTGGAGAAATTGTTGTAATGTCTGAAGAGAAAATGAGATTTATTACGAGTGTTATAAATGGATTTGCGAGTAATGCTTTGAGAACTCTTTGTTTAGCTTATGTTGATGTAGAAGGGGAAGGTGAGTTTGATATGAAAAAAGGGTTGCCTGATTGTGGGTATACAATGATTGCGGTTGTTGGTATTAAGGATCCGCTTAGGCCAGGGGTTAAGGAAGCAGTGGAGACTTGTTTAGCAGCTGGGATTACTGTGCGTATGGTTACGGGTGATAATATTAACACGGCTCGAGCCATTGCCAAGGAATGTGGTATACTGACCGAAGGTGGGTTAGCCATTGAAGGGCCAGTGTTTCGAGCTAAATCAGATGCAGAAAAGCGTGAACTAGCACCGAGCATTCAGGTACAAACAAAAAAACTTGGTAATGGCTAGATCAAATGTAACTATTTTTTTTTTTTTCTTTTCCTTTATTTTGAAACTCAGGAGAATAGGTCGTTAGTTCTCCAAGACAAGTAATGACTCACAATCCTTAAATACATTACAGGTAATGGCTAGATCATCACCAACAGACAAGTTAAAGCTTGTAGAGCATTTGAGGGGCCTGTCTGAAGTTGTTGCAGTCACAGGTGATGGGACAAATGATGCTCCAGCTTTACATGAATCAGATATCGGATTCGCCATGGGTATAGCAGGAACAGAGGTTGGTTTATGTCTCATATTCATGTCAATTTAGTATAAAAAACTTAAGTTAATGAAAAAACAATCCCATATACAATATATTGGTAAGAAGAAGCTGATGTCTGTCATAAGTCATCTGTCATCTGTCATCTCATCTGTAGGTTGCAAAAGAACAAGCTGATGTAATCGTGTTGGACGATGACTTTGCAACAATTGTAAAAGTAGCAAAATGGGGACGTGCAGTTTACATAAACATTCAGAAGTTTGTTCAGTTTCAGTTAACTGTCAACATTGTTGCTCTAATGATTAATTTTGTTTCAGCCTGCATTACAGGTTTGTTCAATCTTCTTCTTTATTAGTCTTTCGTTGCTTTCTCACATGTTCTGTGCTTACATAGTTGCATGGATATGAATACTTTTCAGGGTCTGCACCCCTTACTGCTGTGCAGTTGCTATGGGTGAACCTGATCATGGACACTTTAGGTGCGTTGGCTCTAGCCACCGAACCACCGAATGATGGACTCATGAACAGACCACCTGTTAAACGAACCGAAAGTTTTATTACAAAGCCCATGTGGCGAAATATTATTGGCCAAAGTGTTTACCAAATGGCTGTCCTATTCGTCTTGAATTTCGCTGGAAAATCCATTCTCAATTTGGACTCAACTGAAATCCTTAATACTTTCATCTTCAACACCTTCGTCTTCTGTCAGGTACAATTTATCTTTTTTTTCTAAAATTGCAACGTACTTTTTCATTTACTTGTGTTGTGCATTTTAACAGTTTTTTTGGATAATTGTGTATGTGTAGGTTTTTAATGAAGTAAACAGCCGGGACATTCATAAGATAAACGTGTTTCATGGCATGTTGAGCAGTTGGGTTTTCGTTGGTGTCATGGTGTCTACTGTTGTTTTTCAAGTTGTTATTGTTGAGTTCCTTGGCACTTTTGCAAGCACTGTGCCACTAGACTGGGAACTCTGGGCACTTAGCATTGGAATTGGGTTCTTGAGCATGCCAATTGCCATTGTTTTGAAGTGCATTCCTGTTGAGAAGTCGCCCATGAAACAACCCAAACACCCTGATGGTTATGAAATCGTCGCTGATGGCCCATAAGGTGCTTGATGAAATGCCAAAAAGAACATAAACAAACCCAACTTCAGGTTTATGAAGCATTTATAATTACAAGGTGTACTTCTCAACTGTTTCCTTTTTTTTTTTTTTTTTTTTCGGGTGGTGAGACAAACAACCCTAACAATAGCTCAAAGCTTCCATAACACAACAATTTTGATGCACCCGTATGTACAATTTGGAATTTTGAATTTCGTATCATCTAAGTCATGCAAAATCCTAAGCATAATATCTCTGAACGGTAACAATTATACAACACATATCAACTTCACTATTTAGTATTCACTCCCCCACAAAATGAAGACCACGATTGGCATCTAACGCAATTATATATAAGAATGGGGACACTATAATTGGTATCTAACTCTTCCCAATAATAAATGGAGCTAGATCAAATTTTCTCATAAGCTACTGACTAAGTTGCAAACATCATTTTCATTTGTATCTCCTTTTGGCTTCTCCATAAGCAATCACACCCATAACAGTTAAGGAGTAGCCAGCTATACCTAAAGGGGTAACCGGATTACGGAAAATGAGTATTGAGATAACAACCGCTACAGCACCTTTAGCATTCCCTAATACCTGATCATACCATATACAAATACTTTAACTTAATTTGCATTATAAAAAGGAAAGAATCATGGCTAAATTCGCAAGCTCGATCCATGAATATGGAATGTACTAAGTTTGAACTCAGAAGTCAAAACAAGAGCAAGAAGAAACAAGCAACCTGTAGTGTTAGTGCACTTGTGTGCTTGGTGACCAAAAAGTTGGTCAAGTTAGCAGCATAAGCCATGGTTGAATTCACAGAAAGCAGTAGCCACATGAATCTATGCCTTAACCCGAGAGCAATGGTGGCATCTAACACATCTGGTTCCATTATAAGTGCTGTTGGCAATAAAAACATAACAGCCATTGGGGACATATAAAGCAAAAGGTTCATTGAATTTAACTTCTCCCTGCAACAAGAAAATCATTAAATGTACATTCACATACTTGGCCCCATTGGCGTACTCCAAGGGAAGAACAAATTTACTTATATACCCTTAGCAAAAAGTAGAAATTAATTTATTTACCCCTCTGAAGAAAGTAGGATACCCTGAAGAACAGACTTGAAGGCCCTAGCAGCAGTTGCACTTATGCACATGAGAAATCCATACAGCTGAAAACTTGGTTCACCCTGTAATAACAAACAATTTGACTTATTATTTTTGCCTCACTTAAACAAAATCTCAACATTACTCTCCATGGGAATGCGTAATTTGTTGTTTCTTTTTTTACTTACTACAGTAATGTAGATAAAGTCTAAGTTGTTCTAGATGGAAGCTTTTATATAGTATGTTGATTAAGATGCCAATTGCATTCAGAGGATTGGGTTGACATGTTTTTCAATAAAAAGATGAAAATGGGCTTTAATGATAAGTTACAAACAATAAATAATAATAATACTAAAAAAATAAATAAATAAAATAAAATAAAATAAAAACTATATGGGTTTAATGTAGATGTCATAGAAAATGTAAACACATCCTTGGCCACCCCAATTACTAAAGCATAGGGAATACAACAACAAAACCTATAAAAGGGAAGCATATGCAGACAAAAAAGCATAAAGCAGGTATAGAAATTGTAAAGCATGTATATACATAGGAAATACAACGACAAGACCCATAAAGGGTAAGCAGATACAAACAATAAAAACATAAAGTAAGTATACAGACATGGCCACCCGACAACCAAAACATTGGGAATACAACGAAAAAAAAAACTCAAAAAAGGAAGCATATAGAGATAATAAAGTATAAAGCATGCATAAAGACATTAAAACATAAATGCTTACATTTTCCTCTATATGTTTTTACATTGATGATTTTATTGTTTAGCTCAAAAAGTTTCCATAATAAACGTCTCCAAATAGATTAATCAAGTTATGGACTTCTTTATATTAACATGGCAAATTGGCAAATACTTTATGAAATTCAAATTCAAGAACGAATTCAGTTGACTCTTAAAAGTCAAGATTGGCAATCTATAATCTATAATGGCATATATGGTAAGATTAAAACCCAGATCATAAACCACTAAAATAAATCTTATCTTAATTCTATCATTTTAATAAAATAAGACGTGAACATGATACATACCCCGCTTGCAATTACAACGCCAGTAACAACAGGAACAAGAGCACCATAAGTAATCCATGCTTCTCTTTTGAAGGTCATCATATAGGCAAACAGGGCGGTGAAAAACGGCGTCGTTGCACCGATGGCTTGATTGAAGGAAACCGGAAGAAATCTGAGAGAAATATTCCCTCCGACAACCGACCCACAAAAAACAACACTCAGGGTCGCAATCCTTAAAAACTGCGATCTAGATTTGATCTTCTGAAACGGCACAACTCTGAGGAACACAATGGATATGTAGCTGAGGATGCCGGAAGCTGACATATGACACATTGTGAGGAAAATTGGGAATCTGAAGCCATAACTGGAGAGCAAGAACTTGTTGAGGAGAAGAACGCCGATGTTTGATGAGTACCAAAGGAATATGAGTAATGAGACGAACACAAATTGGTTTGATGATGATTGTGAGATTGATGATGAGGAGGAGGTCGTAGGTAACATTTTTTTTGGGTTTTTCCCTTGAAAAAATTCAAGGATTTGAAGGAGGAGGAAGAAGGTGGGAAGTCATTGGGGTTGAAACAATGGTGGCAAAAACATTCGATTTCGGGTATCTAAAAATTACATGGAATTCAACGTGATGATTTGTGCGGTGAAATTATCGTGGCATTTGGGGAGGTGAGGTGGGATGGAGGTTTATGAGGAGGCAGTGTGTCAATGTCATAAGGCAACAATCGGGTCAAAACGCCAATTTGTTTGATTTGTGATAACTGATAAGTTAAGGGTAGTGTCATTACTTTCTTAGATAATCCAGAATTTATTTAATAATATGAATCCATAATACAATATTAAAGAATATTAATATTAAGTTTTTCTCATTATTTATATCAATGTTATGGATGAAGCCTACCACATCCATGTCGAGCTTTCATCTGAAGTCCTAACAAACATGTCTATTCCAATCCATCTTTATGGTGAACAAAACCACCAAAACAACAAAAATCAGCACCGGTGATTGGTGAATTCCCATCTCCACCCCTACATCTTTCACTTTGTGGCCATTAAACATCAATATACCAATGCTAACTTTGCCACAAAATCCCATCAGTACATTATTGCCAAACTCATGGTTCCTAACTTCTTATGGTTCCTTAAGAATCTCCATTTTAGTGCAAACTTCAATAACGCTTGTGCCTTTAAAATAGACGACGTCTTAAGCGAATATTGAATGCTTATTGAAGATGGATCTACAACTTCGTGGTCTAGGTTTTAAAAGAAAAACATGCCGTCTCCTTCCTCATTATTCGCTATCACTTTCTGCCCCATTATTCACAACCATCATAACTCGTGCAGCCATTGAAGGCCACTTACAACCCTTGTTTTAATTATTGAGAAATTATGTGTCCTTGGCTCCTTGCCCATGTAGACTAACATTGTTTTGATGAATCCCGATTGATTATACTTCTAACCCACGCAAATTTGGGATCAATTATATGCATAATGACGAAAGATGATGTGTGGTTGATGTGTTTATAAGGCTTGATTCACAAATTATTTCTAATCTTTGATAGTAGTTTTGTTTCATGTGTGTTTAACAAGATCCTAGTCGTGATTTGGAATTCTTCCAGTGGGTGGATGTATGCAAGTTTGAGCACAATAAAGAAAACTTATGAAAAACAGCAAAAGACATCTAAATAATCGTACAATTACTTTTTGAAAATGAAGGGACTAAGTATGCATCTAACGATTAAGTATGGAGGCGTGAGAAATTATGAGAATAATGAATACTAGATTTAATTTTTTTTGACGTCGATCCTCCTTATTTCATCCATCCAATCCTACATGACATATTAAAATTTTCGTTTCTCGTCCCACTTTCATCTATTTCATCATTAAACACAAAAAATGGATCATTCTTATCATTTTCATCGCACATGTTTTATTTAAATAATTTAAGAAAATAGTATAAAGTCATTTTAAATATATGTACATATATTAATTGGCATCGTCTTATGAATAGTAGAGTTTATGACTTTCGACTTTCCCCACAATAGTTTGTAACTTCCAACTTTAACCACAACAGCTTCTACACATTGTTTCTTTTTGTCCTCCCCTATTTCCACCACCCTTCTTAGCCAATGGAATGTTTACACATGGATGATCTTCTACTATGTTTCCGACGTATTATCTCTCCACCAATTTCAAACTATTTGGGTTTATTTCCATATCCGTTGTTCTTTTCGAAGATTTTGAGGTTCATGCTTCTATTACGTCGTCAGGTAAGGGTTTAGGGTGTTTCTTCTTGTCGCAAACAACCAGATGTCGTCTGTTGTTGTTTTGAATTTGGGTATGTTGTTTGTGGTTTCTATTTGATTTTCAGTTTATGATGTGATTGTTGTTTCCTTTCTTTTTTGTGCGATGACTCCCAACCATTATAAAAGGGGCTCCACTTCTGCTAGAACAGACCCATGTCATTCATGGAAGAATTTGATTTTGGTAGACGTATTTGTGTTGCCTGTTTGTTACAACTGTGGGAATTATTCTTGTATGTGTGAGTTTTGTGGGGATTTTTTTGGATTCATGAAAGGGTGTTGTATTTTGATTCATTGAAGCAATGGAATCAGTGCATGTAAACCTTCAGCCACAACTTTAGTGGTATCAAGCAAAAAAATAACTCTAAAACTTAAGTTTTGTTTTTGAAGGTTACTTAATTTCATCAAGGATGAAATTTACCAAGAAACCGATGATGTTCTAATTCCAAAGATGATCATAGACCAAGATAAGGTGGTTTAGCTGGTGGCTTGGATGTGCGGTGGTTTTGCGTCGGCGTTGAATTGAAGTTGTTTCTGTCACCGGCACACACGTATACGTCCATCCCTTCACCGCCTTTATACTCCAATAAAGTTCTTCTACGGTATCTACAAACCCTTTTGGTATTGTTGTGAATTAGGACGATGCAAGATCGTTCTTTTAAGGTCTACAAACACTAAATAAAATCGCTTGATGCTTCAACCCCTTTTCATCAATGAATATTTTCTATTGTCTTCTCTTCTGGTAAGTAATGAGTTTTTTTCTTAATTTTCTCCTGCGAGTTTAGATGCATTTAAACAGATTATGTAAAAAATGTTAAATTTAATCATTTTCAATTAGGGATGAACCTTTTGTACATATTAGTTATATTTTAGTAATAAAACTTTGTTTACAATTTTATTATGGATGCATTATTATGGATGCAGTGCACATCAGGTGTTCGACAAAATGTCTCAAAGAATTTTTCCATTGACATGCTCGATTGTGATCTCTATGTCTTCAACTCGTTCTCGTATGTAGTAGAAACGAGATTTCATGTGCTTAGACCGACCATGAAAAATTGGATTTTTGATTGATGCAACTGTCAATGTGTTGTCGGTTTTAATTACCACTTCTTGTACTTAAGAACCAGTTATCTCTCCCAAAAGATCTCGTAACCAAACTGTTTGACAACTTGCTGCAGAAGCAACCAGATACTCAGCTTCACAAGATGATAATGTCATTTTTTCTTACTTTTGAGATCATCATGTGATTGGTGATTCACCAAAGTAAAATATATGCTTAGTGGTACTTCTTCCATCATCTTGATCAATGTTGTGACTGCTATCACAATATCCAACTAGTCTTACTAAATTATTGCGACTGTAACATATCCCATATCCGATAGTTCCTTTTACATATCTTAATATTTGTTTTATAGCATCTATGTGTGACTTCTTTGGAGTTTTCATGTAACGGCTTTCTATGCCAACTGAGTAAGCTAAATCAACCCTTGTTTGAAGCAAATATCTCAATCTTCCAAATAGGCTTCGATATTTTGTTGCATCTGTGTATTCCTCACCTTCTCCTTTTGAGAATTTTGCATTTGGATCCATTGGAAGTAGAGTAGGATCACATTCATACATCCCTGCGTCCTTGAGCACCTTTTTTACATACCCTTCTTGCGTGATTAGTATGTTATCCTTCTTTTGATATACCTTTATTCCTAGGTGGGATCGTAATATTCCAAGATCACTCATGTCAAAGTTCCTTGCCATTGCTTGCTTGAACTTGTTTATAATTGACATGTTCATTCCCGTAACGACCAAGTCATCAACATACACTCCAACTAGGATTAGATCTGATTCTATATTCCTTCAGTATACAACGGTTTATTGCACGCACCTTTGAAACTTCATATTTTTAAGAATCCCGTCCAACTTCATGTTCCACGTTCGAGGAGCTTGACGTAGACCATATAATGCAATTATGAGCTTGAATACCAAATTCTTTTATCTTTTCCCTGTTTTTAGAAACCTTTCGATTGTTCTACATATACTTTCTCTTGTAATTCAGCATGTAAAAATGTAGATTTTACATCAAGATGATGTAGCTCCCAACCTTTTTGAAGCAGCTAGTGCTATTAAAAATCGAACGGTTCGATTCGTGCTACCAGTGCAAAAACTTCTTGAAAATGGTTACCACATTGTTGGAGATATCATTTTGCTACAATTCTAGCCTTATACTAGCTAATTGAGCAACTTGCATCTACCAATGATCCACTTCCATAAATTCCCAAATTACTAAAATACCCCCAGAAGTCAAACTGGTCAACCCTTGGTCAAAGTCAAAGTCAACGGTCAAGGTCAAAAGTCCATGTTGACCCAGGTCGTCGAGTGTAGCTCATTGACTCGTCGAGTCCTTCCAGAACTCAAGAAAACGTGAAAACCCTAGTTAACTCGCCGAGTTTCCAAACAACTCGTCAAGTCCATACGGTGTCCAAATGTCAGGAAAACCCTAACTAACTCATTGAGTCGTCTCACTAACTCATCGAGTCCATGCAGAAACAACAATGACTAATCTTCATCTGACTCGTCGAGTTGAACATACAACTCGTCGAGTCCCTTCAGTCCATTTCTCATTTAGACATTTTTAAGTTACACCAAAGCTCCAAATTACATATTTAACCTCCTAGGGCATGGTTTCTGAAACGACCCAAAATACAACCCAAAAAATTTTTGTTTTAATATTACTAAAAATCACATCATATATAATAAAACCACGGAATGAGCAACTCAAATGTCATAGTACTGTGTCAAACAAATCTGTATCAATCATAGTAACATCCAAAATAAACTCCCAAGATAAAATGAAGTTGTGGTGTGTGCGATGTCATCTACCCGAGCTCTTCCATTTGCTTGTGGAAGTGCCTGAAACCAAAACTAAAATTGTAAGCACAAAGCTTAGTGAGCTCCACCAGACTACCACATACCATACAATAACATATAAACACATATTGGGCCTCACCCGCTGCATCGGACCGAAGTTCGGAAATTGCATCGAACCGAAGTCCGGAACTAACCAGGTCATTGCCCTCTGCATCGGACCGAGGTCCGGAAACTGCATCGGACCAAAGTCCGGAACTAACTGGGACCTTGTCCCTTGCACCGGACCAAAGTCCGACACTAACTGCATTGGATCGAAATCCGGAACTG